CCTCCTCGTGCTTTAAAGCAAGGGCTTTCTCCCCACAGTGCAGCTGTAAAAAGTATAGTTTAACAGCAGCCTCTTTATAAATTTTTATGCAGCCACATTCTAATTAAAAAACAAAACTCGTCAGAAATTGCTTTCCAAGGGACCTACCCCAAGTGGGGACTGAGGGCATTTGCTGTACAGCAGCCAAAACTTTTTAAAATGTTTGTTTTAGAGTGCAGCAATTTCAGCACAGGGGAATGGGCTATTCCAGCTCATGGGAATTCACTATTCCCTGCCAGGGATCCCTGAACAGTGCTTTGCTGAGGACAAAAATTCTTAAATGAGTACAAAAATCCCTTTTAGCTCAAGGACTCAGTGGATGGTCATGCTGGGAAAGTGAAGCATCAGCAGGGAAAGTTGCTCCTTGATGCTCTGGGCAGATGTTGGCATTCTGGAGACCCAGTCATCCCACAGGATTCATCCCGTGCCACTTCGTCCCCATCCTGGCGCATCCTAAAGACATTACAACACTTGTTCCTTGGTGACCTTCCAGGTCTCATAACAAGCAAGAAGTAGGGTATCACCCCAGAAATAACAATTGAAAAAAATGTGTAAGGCTGGGATCGGAAAATCCCTGTGTAAGGACAGGTTTGCTTGTGCTTCGCATTTGTTTCTGGCATTGCAGGTCTAGGGGTCAGTGTGCTTCCAGTGGTTTTCACCCCACAATCATGAGAACCAAAGGCTTGCTCTGTTTTGTTAATGGGAGCTGGTGTGATGTGATCCGAGATGTGCAGGTGATGCTTAGAGCTGTGCTAAATACAGTGACTTAGTACTGTGACATTTTTGATGACACCAAGTGACTCAGGTCAAGTGACTCTCTGTAGCCAGCAGCTGGTGGGATGTGCTGACAATATGGTCCTGGCTTGGGGCACTTCATTATTGGCATGGTGGCACCTAAATCACTTAGTTTTGAAGGGTCTTGTGAGTCTCCTGAGACCTTTACTCCAATGCTATCTTAGGTTTTAACATTTTAAAAGTATTGGCTTGTAGCCTGGTGCAGTGCCTCTCTAAGTTTTTTCTAGCTTAATTCACCTGGAGATGCTGGGCTCCAATTTTACTACTATTCATAAAGTAACATCAAAACCCCAGTGCTCCAGGTCTCTTGACAAACCTTGCCTGTTCATAGATGGGTTGCCACATTGGTCGCTGTAAAATAGTTGTACAAAGATCCTGCATCAGGGTGAGTGGGGCTGGTGAATCCCGGGGCTGCAGTGCCGCAGCAGAGACACCGCTCCCAGCAAGCAAGGAAGTGCTCCAAGGCAGCAGAGAAATTTAAGACCTTAAACCTGACTTTGAAATGCCTTCCAGTGTGGGGCAAGGGAAGGAGAAGTTTGAGGTGGGAGGTGATGTGGGACCATGCCCTTGGATGCCCACATTTTAGGGAGTGTCAGGGCACCACCTATATAGAGAGAGATATGTATATATGTGTGTATTATATACTGCAATGTCTGCCTGCAGGCGGCTGCTGACATGGGCAGACTGTCTCTTCCCTGGGAGGGAAAAATGAGCCAGAGTCTGCTGAGAAAAGAGAGAAGGATACTGAAGTCAATAAGAAAATTAAGGGGAAAAGAAAGGACTGATCTGCAGCTGGAAGATCACAGAATCCCAGAATCATCTGGGTTGGAAAAGCCCCTGAAGCTCCTCCAGTCCAACCATGAACCTCCCCCTGACCGTTCCCAACTCCCCCAGATCCCTCAGCGCTGGCTCAGCCCGACTCTTCAACCCCTCCAGGGATGGGGACTCCCCCCTGCCCTGGGCAGCCCATTCCAACGCCCAACAGCCCCTTCTGCACAGAAATCCTTCCTCAGAGCCAGCCTGACCCTGCCCTGGGCAGCTTGAGGCCATTCCCTCTTGTTCTATTGCTTACTACTTGGTTAAAGAGACTCATCCTCCCTCTCTGCCCCCTCCTGGCAGGGAGTTGCAGAGGGCCAGGAGGTCTCCCCTCAGCCTCCTCTTCTCCAGACTGAACCCCCCCAGTTCCCCCAGCCGCTCCCCAGCAGACCTGTGCTCCAGACCCTGCCCCAGCTCCGTTGCCCTTCTCTGGCCACGCTCGAGTCATTCAATGGCCTTTTTGGGGTGAGGGGCCCAAAACTGAACCCAGGAATCGAGGGGCGGCCTCACCAGCGCCGAGTCCAGGGGCCAGATCCCTTCCCTGTCCCTGCTGGCCACGCTATTGCTGACACAAGCCAGGATGCCATTGGCCTGCTTGGCCACCTGGGCACACTGCTGGCTCCTGTTCAGCCGGCTGTCAATCAACACCCCCAGGTCCCTCTCTGACTGGCAGCTCTCCAGCCACTCCTCCCCAATGATATTGAGGCACAAATTGTTTTTCTCTTCGTTTTTCTCCCATTTTCCCACCTGCCTGTCTGCCTGGGCAAGCTTTTGCCCATTCTGGCTGCCAACTTTCTTTCCTGCAGCCTGTTGCACTTCTCTGGTGCCTGGGAACCTCCTGCAAATCCTCTGCGTGGCCACGGCAGAGGAGTGCTGAGTTTGACGGTGCTGCTGGCAGCCGGCTGCCCATGAAGCAGCCCTGCCAGCAGGGGAACCGGCTGTGGAAAAAAAACAGTTGTAGATTTTTCTTGAGCCCCAAAGCCCTCCCTCCCACAACTGTTCACATAAATCTCACCTCCTGCTCACAGAGAGCGCCTGTCTTCTCTCGCTGCCCTCTCCCGCGCTCCCCCGCCGGCCCGCAAAGGCAGATGGCCATCAGTCAGGCTGCAGCTTTGCTGTTTCAGGATGCAGTATCAGACAGCAAGTTTTGATGCAATTGACTGCAAAAGGCCTGGAGAGCTGCAGAACCGAGCTGCAGTGATGGAGCCGAAGTTGCCTGCAATAACCGTAATAAAGCTGTGAGAATCTGCACCCCTGCCCCATCCCCGGCGGGAACTGCCTTTGGCCAAGGGCCCAGCGGAGATGCTGGGTGCTGGGAAGCATCATCTGGGAAGGCTTTGGGGCCACAGGGAAATGCTCTGAAGCTCTTCAAAAGTGGACCCTGCTTAGGGTAGAAAAAAGTGGCTTGATTTTTTTTTTTTTTTTTTTTTCTCAGGGCCTGTTTCCCTGCATTTCCATGTGACATGGCATGGCCTGACCTCAGCCGCCGGACAGGGAGGGGTACTGATGAGTGTGAGGGCTTGCAGCTGGCAAGAAGGGCTGGGAGGCTTCTGGGGTGCTGGCTCCCAAAATGGGGCAGGGGGAGGTATCACCCCCCCAACCCAGGCTGTCAGCTCAGAGCTCCCTCATCAGGGGCTTAAACTACATTTTTTTAATTCAAAACTTGCGTTTTCCTTGCAATGTAAGGGGTTTTGCTTTAGAGAAAAGGTTAATAGCTGTAAGCTACCTTTTATTTTCTGCTCCCCCACCTAGAAAAAGTTAGAGTAATCTCATTTGGAAAATAAAATTGTGGGGAAATGACGTGTCTAAGCGATAACCACGTTTTAATGGCCTGGTTGCTCATCACAACACACACCTTATGTATCCTGATCTTTTTATAAAAAGTCCTGTCCATGTTGTAAGTAGCTGCCCCAGCAGTTAAGGCCAGAGCCTGGGGAAAAATTTTCCCTTTTTTTAAATCCTCATCTGTACTTTGAAGAAGGCAGCATTTCTACTGCTGAGTTTGTTTTCAAATCAGGACCAGGCAGGGGCACAGCCGAGTTACTGGGGATCTCATCCTACTGTAGAATTATTCATTTTTTTTCATAAATATTCATTATCTTCTCTTTTTTTTTTTTTTAGGGCACTTTCTCCCCTGTGCTATTGGCTCAGCATCAGCAGGCCTGTCCGTAAAACTAACGCCACATTTTTCTTCTGGTCACCGAAATTTAATCTCGGGCTCAGACAGAGCATTAACAACCACCTGTGCACAGGGGACACATGCCGTTCATTTTATTGCGGTGCAGAGGGAAATGCCTTGTGCGCTGCTGGGTTACATGGTTCCCCCATCAGATCTATTATTAAAGATACTCCTGCCACCGAGCTCATTAAGAAATGAGTTCCCCAGCTCCTTCTCGCGTGGCCTTGCCTCTTTTAAAATTGAACCTTTTAATTTGAATGAATCTTTAATTCGATTCCATCTCCTTTCACGTTCTTCTTTTAAAGAGCTGTTCCCCAGGTTCCTTAGGCCGAGGAGTTATTTGATCAGGTTTAAAAGCGGATGTGTAACCGTGGAATTGATCTAATTTTGTTGATGTGGCTGCAGGATTTTATTGCCTTCTCGTAGCAGGGATGTGTAATCATAAAAGAGCGAGGGAATGGGAAGTCCTGGGGTTTCTCAGTCTGCACTGCTCATCTCCAATGGATTTAGCACATGGGGCAGTAAAGGGAAGGGCTCACTACTGGGTTGGCTTCCTTGTTTTCTCAGGGGGTGCTTCATTTTCAGCTGTGCATTTTTTTTGTGCTAGAGCTCTCCATGCAACAGGATACTTGGAGGCAGGGGGAGCAGAGGGAGAGCATTTAGCAACAAAAATTAATCCATGGGGACTTTTTGGAGGAGGGGGATTAATGGCTACTTTTAGGTCCTGATCTTATTTCTGTGAAGTAAATGTCTGCAGGGCTTGAGCCTTTTATCTCCGGAGGAATGAACCGAGTTGGGGAGCAGAGCCAAGTTGGAGTGTGGTGAGAGGCTCTGTATTTGTGGGCTTTTGGTTTTGACTACAGGTTCAATATCCAGCTGTTGAGGGTGTTGGGTAATCCACGCGGCTGCAATGCTGCTGCAATTAAACTCACATGGCTGAGAGCCTGATCCGGGCAGAGAACCTCGGACCCAGGCAACCCATCAGCACGGCCTGGTGTGCCGCAGTGTGGTGTGATAGGGACGAAATCCCTTTCCTGCCCAGACCACAGCACCTTCCCGCAAACTCCTTGTCTGACAGCAGAGATGAAGGAGGTGGTTACAGCTGATAAATGGGAAATCCTGCACGTTCTCTTCCTTCCCCTCACAGGCCTCTCCTGGACGTCTATTAACCACACCAGCGTGTTTGTCAAATCAACCTACAGAAAAGCATCTTCCCTGCATCTCATCACCTTGGGACAAACGGCACGGCTCTGCTTTGCTCAGCAGTGGATGCACTCCTGATTTACACCACTGGAGGTGAGATCTGGCCCCCAACCATGCCTATCCCAAGCACTTTCATACCAAAATGACAATCTCAGCTCCAGCCTCCCACCCCGGGGGGAGCTGATGCCTTTACAGCACCCCCAGCCTGCTCCAGTTCCCAAAAGGATGAAGACTTTCCTTAAAATCTCCTCCACGGGGTGTTTTCCCCAAGGAGCCCTGCTCGGGTGTGTGTCCCTGCAGACAGGGCCAGCGATGAGATACCTGTAAACAGCCCCTGGGCAAACAGGTGCCACCTTTAATGCTCTGCCACAACTTCTCCATCCCTCACAGCTGGCAGAGTGCAGCCCTCTCCCTGCTCCCTCCCTGCCAGGTGGAGCAGTGGGGTTTGTGGGGAATGGTGCAGGCCAGTTGCATTGGGTCTCTGTCCCGCAGGACACCAATCCTTTGCCCCCTGCACTGGCACAGCCGAGGTCCGGGTGTTGCTGCAGGCCCCTGTGCCACCGTAGCTTGGTTTGAGGGGCTCTGACTTAGGGCAGAGCTGGTGTCACTTGGTCTGTGTCACAGCTTGCTGCTCCTGCAAGGTCTGTGCTGTGTGAGCTCGTGCCTCCCGTCATCCAGACGGGCTCCTGCAATGACGGCTGTGCTGGGCTGTGGGTATGGACTTCACGATTCTGCATGTTCAGGCACTAAACCACCCTGAAAACTCCCTTTCACTGGCATCAGAGCATGCTACGGGTGGGATAAACCACCATAACCAGCTTCAGCCTAACAGAGCTGGGCAAGAGGATGGACTTCCCCGTCGGTGGCTGTGACTATACCCCATGGGGGTGCACCCAAAACCAGCCCCTGGGCTGCAGAAAAGCTCCCAGACACTCCCTGCATCCCCATGCTCTTTGAAGAGAGCCATGACCCCCGTGCTGCGGGGCTTTGCCTTCAATTCCCACAGCTTCCCAGGAGCAGCATTGAGGCACAGACAAGTCCAGGCTGCCTGAACCCCTCCCCTTGCCAGGACTAGCAGCGTTTGCACCCCACCTGGGACGACACAGCGGGATTACTCCCAAGGCACACAGACCATACCACTTTGGAAGACTTAAACTAGCCCTAAACCCCAGGTCTGGCTTTGTGCATGAATCTTGTGAAAACCCTCATCCTGCTGAAGAGCTTATTTCCCCATCCAGGGTAGGTGGACAGAACAGTGGAAAAAAAATGCAGCTTTTGTGCTGCTGGATCCAAATCACCATCTGTGTTTAAGAGCTCAGCTACTATAAACGCAGGCGGTGAAACCTGGTTAACCCATGCTTGGGGTCTCTGGGAGTGCTGGCAGCTGAAACCTGCACGTGGTTGTGCTGGTCCTGGCTCTGGGGGTGGGAAGACGGGAGGTGCTCTGGACTACTTTATTTTTAGGTGCCATCGATACAGATAAAACTGGACTTTGTGGCTGATTTAGATGAAATTTGACCAGCGACACCATTCCCAGCCTGATTTTATACCTCTTTTCCTCTCTCCCTGTACTCCCTGCTTCAGATGTTTTATGGATTATGCAGCTCCTGCCAAAGGATTTGAGTTTGAAACCATACTGTATTTTGGCCTGTAAAGATACTGAATGAACGATTTAAAACTCTGAGTCATTAAAACTGTCCAGGAGAACCTAATGAATGTTATTTACTGTGCTTCCCAGCTCAGCTAAAATCCAGCTTTTTCTTCTCCCATTTTCAATACTTTTCTTTTAAAAACAGCAGCCAAACTTATCTGGAAAGCATTCCTTGCTAGAGACAAACTGGATCAGTAAGTGGAAATGTCAGTTTTTAAGAATCTCTGCCACTGCTTTGAAGTAACTTCATTTTTTTGTTTGATTGCTCTAATTCAAAAGCTTTATCTTCTAGGCTATCTCTTAAAAAAGGAAATTTAGTGGCTGCAGCTAGCATTTAAAAAAAAAAAAAAAAAAAAAGGCTGCCAAATCCTGATCTTTTGATGATAGTCTCTTCAGAAAGCTGCCTAGGTGGGCTGGCTCCTGGGCTCCCGCTCTGGCTGGGCAGCACTGCTGAGCTGAGCGCAGTTACTCCCCATTCCTGTGATGCTGGGGAGGTCAGAATAGGACCCCCTCTCTTTAATTTCTGTTTGTGTTGCTGAGCTTAGCCTTGGAAATGGAAATCTGACTTGAAAAGAAGCTACTTGCGATTAGAGGCTGTGAAAAAAAAATAATCTAATGAGTTGCTGCTTTTAATTCCACATCTGAAAGGCAATCTATTACTGTCTTTTATCACTTCTGTCTCCTATTAGAGAAGCAATCTCATGCTGGGACTCTTTCAACACCCAGGCAGTTAATATACATTATAATTATTGCCTAATGTATGAATAGCCTGGTGTGCCCAAGTTCTTTATTCATTTTTACTTAGCTCCTGGAAAGCCCGTGCAGTACGTAAGCAGGGCTGGAGTAAGGATCTCATGAGATTCGTGAAGGTTTTATTTTAAATTATTTATTTTTTGTGTTGTGTTGTCACCTTGGAGGCTCTGTTTGAGAACAAATGCAGAATACTCATGTAGGAAGAGACAATTCCTGCCCCAGAGAGGTTACAGAGAGACGGGCAAAGGAGGGAAAGGAAAGGGGATAAGTCCCAAGAGATCAGCAGGGGATGGTGCTGAGGACATCCACCAGCTCTGAGCTCGGTAGATGTTGTTATGGGAGACTTCCCAGTGCTGTTAAAAAACAAAAAGGAAAAAAAAAGTTGATGACATTTTAAAAAGGAGAACATTCCCAAATGTTCATTTTAACCTGAGCAAACCCATTTATTTCTCCTTGATTTATTAATCTATGCTCATTTTCAGGCTGTTTAACTAGTTTTAAAGCAAAAAGTAGAAGCAAAAGGGCCAGTATTTTCAAAGCAACATGCTCTGCATGCAGACTGTCAAAGTGAAACCTTCCTCCCCACGCTCACAGAGAGGTCTGAGTTCGCTCTGGGCCCCCCAGCTGTGGTCTTGCTGCCGAAAGGCTCTCAAGACCAGCACGGGGTTGCCACTCGGTGCCCCGACCGACGAGCGACACAGCCATTAAGCCCCAACCCCTCCGTGACCCGGCACGTGGGTTTTCAGACAAGCCAGAAGCTCACAGCAGGTTGTGAAAATCCTTTATTCCTCACCACATGTTGGGCACAGCTTGATGCAACGATGTATTTTTGGTGCAGCAACAAGCACCGGGCAGCGTGGCACAGCTTCATCCCTTGAGCCTTCATTTGAACCCTCTCTCAAGGCTATTTACAAACTCCTGCTTCTCCCTTTTCCCCATGACAGCTTCCCTGAGGACCATCCACACCCAAGGATGATGTGAACCCCAGACCTGGTTGATAAACCACCCTATGAACCACCATCGCTGGGGGACCGAGGTCTGGGCTGTTCCTTCCAACCTGTGGGTAGCTCAGCTCACCTCTGCCAGGAGCCTGTGTTGGTCACAACAGCATCTGGAGCAGCCCAAACCCACAGGACAACTTATTTGCCCCTTCCTAAAACTCTTAGAGTGCAGTAATTATTTACAAGCGTTAACACTTATGGCCACGTGGACCCAAGGATAGAAGGGCATTAAAATTCCACTTGATGCTCACCAGGCCTGACTAATAAAATAATGTCCAACAAGGACATCAATTAGCCACCGATTCGCTAACGCTTTGCGAGGCTAATGACAGCTGGAGCGAGGAATTTGAAACCCGAGTCATTTTTCCAGCCTGCACCGGGGTGCCAGGGATAAAAGGTTAGTCATGTGTACCAAATGCAGCGTGAGCTCCTCCATTATTTATGTGTGTCAAACAGACAAGGAGCGCTTCAATGCCTGCAGTCACTCTATGGTAATTTGTATTATATAAACAGATATAATCTGGTCATTAATACACATAATTCTGAGTGAACTGACAGTAATGAATCTGGAGTATACTATTCCATTGACTTGTTCCCTTGCTAAATAACGGTCTGCAGTAATAAGAACTGATATACTGCAGCCAGCAGCACCCAGGAGCATGCTGTGGTTCATGGTGGACTCAAGGGATGTAGCTTTGCTCTTGGTTTTTTGTACTGAAGTTTTCGGCCAGGCCCTAGCTATACACCGATGGGATTTAGACTCTTCTTTCAGCAGGCCAGGTCTCTTCTGTTTACTGACTCAGGACTGCTCATGTTGCAGCAATCGCTGCTTGGCACTGCACGCCCCACATCTCTGGCTCTGGTAAGCTGGGTTGGGCTCATTGGTTTTCCTGTTCCTTCCCACCTCTTGGGAGAATGCTTTCATTAATAGTTAATAACTGAGGGGTTTTTTTGTAGTGGTGTAACAGGCGTTTTCTGGGAAAGTGGAGGTGGGTGTGTATGGACATCATTTAGAGACTTGTCTCTGCACAAATACAGCAGACCTGTGCCACTCTCCATAGATTTACTGCTTTCTTGAGACACTGCAATTTGAAGATACCAAAGAGTACACACTTGTGCACGTGTACCATGAGTGGGGCAGCTCAACTATTGACTGTTGAGCCAACAATGGCCTACAGAATATGTTTACACGGGCTGATTTCCATGCAACTGCAGTGGAAATGGGGACAGATTTGTGGGTCAGTAGCAGGATGGCCACCATCACACAGCAGTGCCATGAAGCATCAGTCCCCCCATCTTGAAAGGAGAATCTGCCTACGTGCGTGGGAAGGTGGTCAGCATGGGCTCGCTCAGGGAGGTGGAGAGCAGAGCGGTGCCTTGTCCTGGAAGCGAGCCTGGCCATGTGCTCATCGGGCTGCCCTGGGCTCACCCTTCCTCTGGATCTGTCTCCATCAGTAAAGGGTTTCAGTGACTTAACTGTGCCTTTCCGGCAGCTCTGAGGATGTTTTGGGAGCTCCTTGGAGGGCTGCAGCTCTGCTAAATAGCAGGGAAGAGGCTGAGGGTTATTTATATGGAGTTTCTAAACTGGCTTTGCAATAAACAATCTCTGTTAACAAACCCAGATGAAATGCGTGTGGGAGTGTCCAGCTGGAAAGGCAAACACTTGATCCCACAGTGAGTCCCAAGCCCAGGAGCTGTAGGGGAGTGTCAGCACGATCCTGTCCCACCCAAAGCCCTGGTCCTTCTCACCGCTCCAAAGGCAGCGTCCAGTAACAACAGCATGGGCTCCTCATGAGATTTAATCTCTGGCATCCAGGAGGCAAACCCCACTGCTCTTTATGAGGACGGGAAAGATCTGTCTGCCAATGGTATAACTGGCTCATATCTACCGTTGGAGATATGGGAGAGATTTACTGTAAGGCTACTCCCTGTGTTTTAGGTGTTGCATTACCCATCTTACCTAACATACTTTTTGGCCCATGCCTCTGCACAGAAACTCCCAGTGTTGCTCATCTCAACAAAGCAGCAACGGGAAATTTCAAGGTAAAAGCCCAGCATAGACAGTTCTGCCTAGCTGCAGGGTGTACAAACCCGTTTATTTACAAATATCTAGTCTCTGTCTAACGATCACCCTAGTTACCACTGGAGTGAAAAGTATGTCATCAGCCCATATGATGTAACCTTACCATCTGGCTGTTTTCAAAGGACACACACCAAAAACGTTGCTTTTACACTGCTGCCTTTTCTGTAGGGTTATTGCCCCCTGCATGGAAAACAAGAAGTTTCCCTGTACTTAAAAAAAAAAAAAAAAAAAAGCTGCAATTGCCCTAATTCTCTTGGCTGTCTTCTGCTTCTTGTGCCCTTCTGTTTCTCATATGGATGATCTATAGATTGCACTTTCTGATTTGTATTCACTGCCTTCAGCTTCCCTGTTCCCCATTTGTTTCATAAAGGATATTTGTATTCTCCTCTTGGTGAAGGAGCGGTTCTTGTTTTGACCACTCTTGGTTGTTGGATTGTGGTTTTTGGTCAGCATACAGAAACATTCTTCAGTATTCCCCAATTATTATTCTTGGGTTGGTTTGTTGTTTTATTGTTTGGGTGGTTTGGTTGGTTGTTTTTTTCCTTTCCTGTTTAAATTCTTTCTCTGAACTGATTTGGCTCAAGATTGTTTTCAGGTTTGTAACAACAGCCTGGGAGAGCAGCAGGGCAATATCTTACTCTGTTTTCAAGTGGCAATCACTTCCTACCTAAGCTACTGTGTGTTTTTAGTCCTGTGATCAAATTCTCTGTATCTGCCAAGAAAAAAAAAGGTCTAATATACAATTCTCCCCTGTTGGATATGTGAGTTCTTTTGAGGTAGGAAATAATCACCATCATCTTTACAAATACGGAAGCTGTTTCAGCGCTGGAGGCAGCTTTTCCGCAGAATTTTCTCCATTTGAAGTTTCCCCACGACAATCTGGTCCTTTTCCCCTCCTTGCCCTTGGCAGCTGCTCAGGGAGATGTTCAGATGGTTCACAGGTTTGATTTTGTGCTCCACTGCAGATACTGGTTGGTTTATTTTCTGCTTTCTATTTTAGATGATTGAGCCATCAATTTTCAGATTAATTTACTACTGAGTACAATGACCTGGATGCTCGTGATCCGATTTCTAACGGTTCTTCATCTCGTCCCCACTTCAGCCTTCCTAAAAGCCATGATTTTAACACTCCAATTAGCTTCCCACCAGGTTTCCATCTCTCCAGCTAGGCCAGATTTTTGCCTGTACAACACTGGTTCCCGTTTATTAGCCAGGACCTACCTTTGGTAGATAGGTGATGAAAGAATTTCTCTCTACTTCCTTCTTTGCTTTGATTAATTTTGTTGTCGGCACCTTCATTATGTGCTAAATGAGTTTCCATTTGTTTCCTCTTTGCACCTTTCCCTTTTGTTGTTAGTCTAACACCTCCTTGCCTAAGGCAGTCTGTCTTTGCCTCAGAAAATTGGTTTCCAATTTGGGAAGGAAGCTACCAAAATCCTCCAAACCCTCTCCTGGAGAGGTGAGATAAGTGCTTTGCAAATGACACCCCCATGGTCATCTTCCCCACTGAACACCTTCTGGTTTTCTTCATCTACAGGAGAGGAGGAATCTCTGAAAGCTCCTTTGGGCACCTTTTCAGCATCCTTTCAAGTGATGTGACCTAGAAGACATGAAGGAGGCTGTGATTTAGGGACACTGGTGCCAGTATCAAGCTGCAGCTGGGCTCCTGGCTTCCTGTCTTGGTGGTATACGTGCTGAAGCCATCACAAGGTAGCTATGGCTTTCTTTGGGAATGGATCTGACCCCTTGCAAAGATGGTTTAGCTTGTTAAAATAGCAGAAAACTAACCTGGGGGGGAAAAAAAAAAAAAAAAAAAAAAGGAAAAGATTGTGCTCTGCTGGGCTAAGTGCGTTTTCCTATTAAGAACATAAAGACATTGGGGAACTCCTCATGACACTGAGTTTCTCATTGTCTTTTTTTTTTATTTCCTCTCTTCTGGAAAGAAATTATAACATGGGGTAATCCTAACTCATCTTGCCATTGATTTTGACTGCCATTCAGAAAAATGTTTCCTCTCCCACCCAGACCGCAAGCATCTGTAAGCATCCTACTCATCACCAAACACTCCAGCAGATGCAAAGCATCCCTTGGAAATCACGGTGAGAGCTGCACACATGCTTAGGTGCTCCACTGAACTGGGGCCTCTCTAAACAAGAAGAGACCATTAGTTTTGGCTCATTAGCTTAACCGAGATGACTATTAAATCCCACTCCTCCCGCCACTTTCTGTAAAATAAACTTAGAAATGAGCCATCTTTGCAGCTGTGACTGGTAATAAATCTAATTAATTTCCATGTCTTTAGTTAGTGTTAATATATGCATTGGACGTGTCAGCTCTGCCTTTATGTTTCCTTCATGGAAAAGCCTGTCTCTGAGATTCCCTTGTAATTAGAATGGGAATTTGCTCCTTTGTGGATGTATTCCTCCAGGAAGCCACTTACTGAGATGCAGCATCTTCATTCCCAGAGAATGGTGTTATTGTTTGTTTGGTGGGGTTTTTTTAATGCCTATGACAATTAGTATCACAACAAATTCATACTTCCCCTGCTAATTTAAAGGTTAAGGAAAAAAACTCCACTTTGTCCTGTGAAGATGTCACCAAACAAAGCAGAAACCAAAGGCGCAGATGCACTTCTCTTTGAAATCTGCATAGTAATTACTGTTTACCTCCCTTCCTCCTTCCTTGATGACTCCAATACAAAGGGTACAGTAAAGAGCCGCGTGGGATTCATGGTCAGATCCATTAGCAGAATCAAGTATTTTTGGCTGAGCGCATGTCTCATGCCAGTCGTTTAAGACTGGATAATAAGCTGAGAGGAAAACTACACAGGTCACAGCTGTGCAGCAAAGAGTCTTTTAGAAAGTATTGCTGGTAGTGCTCTTCTTGATTACAGGGAGTTCAGAACCCCAGCACAGATGGAGGGGCAAAGTGCACAGGCTCCAGAGAAGCCTTTGAAAGTTTATCAGCCCTTGTACTCCAAAAACTGCCCGTAGGTGCCTCGTGTCTGTATATCAAAGAGCGTAGGCCACTCAAAACGGGACTCCAAGACTACTGGTGCAGACCTCAAGGCACTGTGTGCTCTGTAGATAGAAGAACAAGCTGGAACTCGAGTCCTGTACAGAAGCAACTCTTAATTGTATCATGTCCAAGAGAAAATCGGCCCAGAAGCCAAATTTATACGAACAAACTCTGCTGCCAACCTCCTTTCCTCCTCCCGCTGACCCACAACTAAGCTTTCTTCACCCTTACAAATAACGCAAACTCCCAGCTTCATTTTCTGAGATTTCCCAGAGCACTGTGGATGCTTTTCTTTCTGCCTATCTCTCATGTTACCTCCAGGAATGGCTATTCCTTCTTGCAAAGGTTATCTATGTTTGAAGCCTCTTCCCCACGGACAGAATCATAAGGTCTCTGATGAGGAACAGCAGGTCTTTGTTCATTCTCAATGCATGGGGCTGTAAATCCTCTGAGGGTGACCAGGGAAACCAAGAGCTTGCTGCCCCCATAAATCTCCCAGGGTGGCTGCTGCAGACATCGTGTGCTCTTCAAGGGCTGCATGTTTCCGATGGACTCTGCAATTGTAAGGTAGAAAATAAGCCAGTGTACATACTAGAGGACAAGAATGAAAGATGATTTTCAGTCACTTTAGTTAAAAGGTCGCCTGGGTAACCTGCTGGGAGTGGTTGGGAAAGACAAGAGAGTGTAACTTGCTTTGGAGCTTTTCCCCTGCTTCTTTGGAGTTTTTCCCCTGCTTCTTGGCTCAGCCAGTGTTGATCATCTGGGCTTTGTGCATTACCTGCTGTGGTAAACACAGGGTTGCATCCACATGTAGGGGTGGTGCACCCACTTGGAAATGACATGTCACCTGAGGAGTGGTGGGGAAGGTCTGAGCAGACTAGCACAATCCCGCCAGCACCCTACGGTCTGGATGGGGCTCTTGGGATGGGTCCATCCTCTCTCTCCACCTTTTATCTTGCTTTAGCTTCACAGCAGGATGGGAAAGGACAGGGAACGGCCTCGAGGGCAATGACTGACACCCAGGAGCCAAACCCTTTTTCTTGTACCAACGTTCGCCATCCAGTCCTTCCCAATGCTGTGTCCCTCTCAACTGTGCTGTGGTTAGTGCCTCCACATACCTGTCCCTGAAAGATAAAGCTCTTGCCTCATCACAACAATGCAGGGTGCTGCGTTTGTCTCTTGCAATGCAGTGGGGTAATTCCGAGAGCTCGTTACACCAGGATGTCGTCCATTTGCACAGGCTGGGAAATCATCTGCCAAACCCATACACCTCAGCATTGCCACTGCAAATGAGGAGAGGTGGCTGACAGCACCACTTCCCAGCGACACGGCTGAGCCCAGCCGAGCGTGACAGGCTCTTAAAGTGCTGCTGGGCTGCAAGAGTTATTGATATTTTTTAAAATTATTTTTGTTTTTCTTTCCAAGTTTTCCAAGTCTGATCTTTCCCAGGAGGAATCCCTGTCTAACTGTGTCATCCAGTGGTGTGAAGGAGCCTGATCCTGTGGCAGTAGTGCCAGAGGGTGACTAGCAAGATTTGTGTGCACATGCCAGCTCTGTGTCTTAGCCTGGGCAGGGTTCCCCATCTCTGCTTCCTGCTTGGTAAGACGGGGCATTTACTGCAGCCCTTTTATCTGCCACCCAAATGAAGCATGCTTGGTGTCTCCAGCCCACCTGCTTTTGTTCAGAGCAGGTACAGTGGAAAGCCAAATAACAGGGCCGGTTTCGGGCAGGTATTGCCCACAAGGCAGTTGCCATGCCTCGCCTCTCCTCATTACCAGTCTCATGTTTAGCCTTTGTGCCAGACTCCCCTTGAGTCTTGCTGCCTGCGAAGGACAAGAGCTGTTTCTCTGGATGTCTGGCAGTCCCCAGCAGCGGCGGAGGGAAGCCTGAGTGAATCAGCCCCTCCAGATGTTCTGACTTTCCTGGTGCCCTTGCTGCCATGACCAGCAAGAAAGGGCCTGCTGGTTCCCTGGACCAAACTGACAGCCTCTTTATGGGCCCTATAGCCCTTGGCTGGATGCTCCTTCTTCCTCTTGTCCTTCTGGCAACCATTTAATAAGCAAACCCTCTAGTGATGCTCTTCCTGGCAGGCCCACAATGTGGCTATTTGAATTCTGCCTTCTCTTTTTAAGCAGGTTCATTTTCTTCCTCCTCCAGGCAATCGGTAATGCCTATGGGAGGGTTCTCACCTCCTCCTGCTGCCTTAGATGTCTTGAGTACCACCTCCCCTGCTCGCCCAGACAACTGGCAGTCTATTTGTTTTCAGTCTCGCTGGAGCAAGCTTGGCCTTTTATTTCATAGCTTTATTCTGCCCTGCCAGCAACCCTGGAGCTCCCTTGCCAAAGCAAGAGAGGAGAAGAGTCCAGCTCCATGTACCGAGATGTGACTGGCACTGGTGTGAGACGGGAAGCGGGCTTGGATTTGGTCACATGGCCCAGATGTTTTTGTTTTGATTTATTTGTTTGCTACTTTTCCTGATGCCTGCTGCTTTGCTTTGGAGGATCTCAGTTTTTGTTATAAACAAATCAACATTCAAAAGAAAACAAAAAACAACAGAAAAAAAAAAGGGGGGGGGGAAAGAAGGTGCTAGAGGAAGCAGCGACATTTGGAAATGTGCGCAAAGCAGTGATGTGGTGACATTTCTCTCAGTCTGCCAAAAGCTTGAAACAACAGCTCGGAGGCAGATCCAGGCTCTCCCTCTTGGCTGTCAGTCCCCTTCCTCGGCTGCGTTCCCCGGCGGGCTCGCAGCATGCCGGGCTCGCTCCTTTGCACTTTCCCTCTGCAACCACTAAGTGAATGCTGTATGGCATTTTAATAATAACCAAAGGCCGAGGATTTCACATGACTCTGGTTGTTGGGCTACAGAGATGGGCTGTGGTGGGTTTAAATTTTTGGAGAAACAGCCAAATTGGAGGTCTGCAAATCCCGCACGCTCCCAGGCTGAGCATCTGCACGACACACACTGAGGTGGTGCCTCAGTTTTGCATCTCAGTTCGGTGGAGCTGGGGAATGTATCATCAATTTAAACCTTGTACAGAAACATAGTTTAACAGCTCCCTGCCTGCAGTTCACTCTCTTTAATGAACGTCAGCACAGATCAGAGCGAGGCCCAAGCTGAAAAATTCAGATCCCAATTCAAAATATGAATGTGCCAGAATTTGGGTGTGTAGGTCTGGAGCTGGAGTCTAACTCACTTGCAAATAGGGACCCTTTGCAAAACATAGTTCAAGGTTTAAATTCCTGTCCCTCCTCCAAAATAAAATAAAGGTTGAAGAAATTCGGAGAACTCAGTGTTTTGGTTCTGGGCCATCTAAGAGGGGTGAACTATGTGCTTAAGTGCTTTGTTGAATAGGAAGAGACTTGAGCATGTGCTTAATGTTACTAAGTGCTTAGCTGTTTTTGTTGAATCAGGGCCCCTGGCTTTTAAAGTCAATACTAACCCCTTAGGCTGCATCTGAAAGGATTTGGAAAAGAAGTGGCATCCAGATACTGCTGGATGTTTGACTGCTGAGCTCTGCATTCCTGCTTTGAAGGCTTGTTCCTCTAAATCTGCTCTCATTGCTATTCCAAATCATCTAAACGACTTGTCCCTGGCCACCAGGTGATTATGCAAGAGAGGATGGGGAGTTATGGATATTTAACGCACGCCCCTGCACAACTGCTGGAGAAGTTCAGCTTGTCCTGCAGTTTCCATCGGTGATCTCAAGGCAGCACAACGATACCGGGATGTCGAGGTGTGATGCTCTTTTGCTGGCCCAACTGAAGAGGCACACTGCAGGCCGTCCGATGTCCTCTTTTGGTGGCTGCTGTGCTGCTCCTTGTAACCAGCTTCTCCTTGGTGTGAGAGCCCCTAAAGTCGCTTTGGTTAAAAGGAGTGGGTGAGCATGAGCTAAGCTGGCTCCCCGTGGGTGGCGTGGGTTAGGGAGTGATCACAGTAACAGAGCTGGCTGATCCGTCACCAACAGCAGGGAACAGAGAGTAGCTGCAGGGACTGAACTTTTCAGCCAACGTAGATGCTGCTGGGAAGGAGGTGTCCCCAAAAGTCTGCAGCAAGAGGGTGGATATGAACCTCATCCCCTGAAATAGCGTTTTGGTGGCACAAGAGCTGGAACTGGCAAGCAGTGTTTGAGAGAAATGAGACTCCAGAAAGAAGTGGGAAAAATAGCAACTTTTTCTGCTTTACAGGTAAAAAGAGTGTCTGAGACCAGGATGGAAATAGATGGAAAACTTATGCACAGATGAAAGGCTTGAAATGAAATACATTATTCATGAGACTAACAGTTGGAATCTGAGAGCCACTTGGAGGTAATCATCTGAAAAGCGGGAACAGTTCTGGGCAACAATTTCAGCCTATTGCAGAGGCACCAAAATGGTTACCAGAAACTAGGTTTCCTTTTAAAGGAAAGACAAAATTAAAATCGCAGGACTGGAGTGGCCTTTACCAGACAAACCAGATGCAGCCCTCCCTCCCCTGTGTCCTCTCCCAGGTCTGGAGGGACAGGCAGGCTGGCTGCTGAGCTGGTCCCGGGACAGGGCTGGCAGTGCTGTCCCATGACTAGCAGTGCCATAGGAGAGAGAGGCTTTGATCTCCAATGCCAACGTCTGTTGAAACTAAATCACAGTGCTGCCTTGCTGTTGCAGGCTATTTTTTAAAAAAACCCAAATGTTCCTGTCTGCACATCTGATGCTAATACAGTAAATGGTAATGCAAAGGTGCAGCGTGCCCTGAAGCAACAGTTCGTCTGTGAGATTCAAAGTTTTGGGCCAAAAATTTCTGAAAATTGGAATGTCATTCTCTTCTCTTGCAGGTTTGCAGATGCCTGGATTGACAGAAAAGGTGCTCTCCTAGGACAAAGCCTTCATTAAAGCAGACTGAAAAGGGATATGTCCTTTTAAGACAACATTGATAAGAGGCTCAATACCCCAAAAATGATGGAACAATGAGAACAACAGAGATTCAGGTACCACTGCAGGTCAGTTTGCACTTGAATTCAAAGCCAGCCTTTCATGTGGGACAGTTTCTCAGCTCAGGTTTTAAGTTAAAGCTCAGAGACTGACAGCAGGTCCCTCTGGAGCTCTATCTGTTCTGATTCAGGTCCTGCTGTTTATGTGTCACAGGCTCCGTGACTGCACACCTGACCTTCCAAGTTTTATGGGACTCACTGATGCAAAGCCTGGAGCCAGTGACACCTTCCTTCCTCCAGGCACGTGCCTTAAACAACAGCAACAGCAAGAGGTCTGTGTTTGTTCTCCCTAGCACAGTAGAAAGGGAATTATTTCAGGCAAAGAGATTTATGTTGGGGTTTTTTTTTCTTTTTTTTTTTTTTTTTTAGTGGTTCCTTGACCTGTTGTTGTTATACACAAAATGATACTCACTCCCGTTAACCCTCTGAGTGTAGAAGACAGGGACACAATGTGTGGAGATAAAGCTGAAAATTTTAGGCTAAGTTCTTAAATGCAAAATCTAGTTCTTAGATGCAAAGAACAGGAGAGTGAGATAGCGAGAGTGAAGTGATGCACTGAGGACCATCTAGCAGACCAATACTGCCACAAGGTCTTTTGAGCCTTCTTCCTTTACATGTGACATCTCCTGGGTTAAAGGGAGAGCCCAAATGCCAGGGGATGGTACACCTAATCTCTTCTGCCTCTGCCACTGAAGTCTTGTGACCTTACTTTTTTTTGCTCACCTCAGCTTGCCCATACCCAAAAGAAAATTAAAAGCTAGTTCATAAAATGTGCTGTTTGGTGCAAACAAGATACATGCAGGTTGCCTCTGATTCATACGCAAGAGCCATTTTTCTCTGGCAGTGGAGCTGATGTAAAGAGGCCTTTGTCCAAGGGAGCATCAGCTGAGGCTGAATGAACTCCTTTAAAGGCTGCAGGGTTAGAATCTGCTGAGGAAAAAAAAAAAAAGAAAAAGTCCTTGCTGTTGCTGTCAGGTTTGTATGAACTAAAATGAGTTGTAGGCACAGTTTGATCTTGCTCAGCTTCCCACAGCGTGCAGAAAGGCTTGATTGGAAAGCCTTCCCTTGAGCATTTCTGCCCAGCTCCAGGCTCCCATCACGTGGCTTTAGCTGAGGGGTCCCAAGGCCATCCAAAGAGCTCAACTACCGCCAGCTCTGCCTTCGCAGGCACTTTGAATGCAAATTGTACCGCAGATTATGTCCTTTCTTCTGCAAAGGGCTTACTACTTCGAGCATGGACTTCTTTGGTCCTGAGTTGAATGCTGAGCTGTGGCTGTTTATGGACGTGTGCTGAGGTAGGTGCAATGATTCAGCTAGCAAGGAGAGCATGAAGTGTATAGGCCCCTTCGGGACAAAACATTTGGGCCACACAGCTGTCATTATTGCTGCACCTCCACTACTGACCACATATTCACTGTCTAGGTTAGCCCTGTATGGGGTAAGTGTTCACATAGACTGAAATGGTGCCACACTACCGCACAACAGGAGAGCTGTTGCCATACTTACTCATAGTAGCAAAGTTACCGTGGTTTTGCAGTGACCCCAAAGCAGAGCTGGCCCCAGTGTTGCCTCTTTTATTCTGCTGCACTTTGCCTCCCTCCTCCCTACCCCTACATGAACATCCTTCTGTGCAGCACAGGGAAGAAGGAGGGTTGGAGGTGAGACCCACTCTGCCCTCCCTCCTCTTGGCAGAGATCTGGAGCAGAGCAGGGCTGCTGGGCATGTGGGGCTGTGAGGGGAACACAGGTGGGTTTTGAGGGGGGACAAAGGGTTTTAGCAACATGGAAGAGCAAGGCAGGGCTCAGCAGCAGGAGTGGTTTTCTGTGCAGCTGCCATGGGTAAGTCTCTGAAGCTCGGTCAGGGCTATTGGTGATGGCAGGAGGAAGAGATCTCTGTGTGGCCAAGCACAAGTATGGTGGGACTCCCTTTCCTGGTGAGCAAGGATGTGTGCTTCTCTAGAGCTGACGAGCACTGAAGGCAGAGGGAGAGGAGGAGGGAAGGCAGCCAGTGGTAGGGCTGGGTCTGGCCTTTGCATGGACTTCTGCTCTACCGGACTGGCTGCCATTGGAGCCTACCTTAATGTGGGACCTGAAGAGCATGAGTGTTGTCCATTGAAGAGTCTTTTATCGATCCTGACATATCTGTGCCCAACCTTTTGTCAAAGACAGCTTATCATGGAGAAGCTTTCCCATCCTCAGGCTGTTCTAGTTTCTTCTGCTGGGAATAATTTCCAGGCTAAATCTCAAGTTGTAATTTAAGTCCATCATTTCTATTCTTCCACTCTCAGTGGCTGATTATTCACAGTTTTCATAGATATTCTTCAGGCCATGCTGGTGAGGGCTGTTCCCGGCCTGATGTGCTGAGATGAACACTGTGTCACCAAGGGTTAGGCATTTTTAAATGTAAATATGAAACCCAGGCTAGGAGAAGAAAAGGAGTCAAAGTACCAGATCATCAGACATGATATTGTAAGGGTGAATCAAAAGTAATCGCAACAGAACTCAGCTGACATCATCAGCTTGGTGATGAGAGAGAAAGGAAAAAGAAAAATGAGAAAGAAAGTGTCACTTGGAGTAGTCCAGCTCTGACTTCATTTGAACAGTGTCCATGAGCTTGGGGAGGGAATGCTGTCCCCACCAGTTAGCATTAGGACATGATGTATTAGGTGATTTGTTAAAATGCTGGTAAAGTTTCTTTATAGTGACCAATGAGGGGGGTGGGTGGGGGTGGGGGGTAGCTTCAAGCTCTGCTTCTTGTCAGCTGTGAACGTCATGAGTGAGTGATACTGCTTTGTTTAACTCCATGTTCCCCCTCCCCATCTTGTGCGTATCAGACCCTTTCTTACCCTTTAAACAGGTAAAAATGGAGCTGATCTTGCCTGGCTTTCCACCCAATTCTCTCACACATCTTCCCTAATCTAGGGACTACAAGCCAGTTCGGCATCTTCTTTGCCAGTCTGATACCTGGAGCAGCACTGCGACACCTCGCCGGGCTTGGGGCTCACCAGCCCTCCAGACGTTCTGCACTGCTCTGGCTCCTCTGCTAAGCAGAAGTGGGTCTTTCATGGCCTTGGGGGAACACCACTCCATTGGAGGCAGCAATGGGTATTTCAAAATCAGTCCTCTTCCCGACTCAGCAGATGGGCTGCTGCCTGCAAAAAGGAAATGAATGTCTTTGCATGGCTCGTAGTCTGACAGGAATGTCTGGAGAAGCTCTAATGTTGCTTCCCCAGAAGCAGCTGTCGTCTAGCATCCTCTTCCATGGCCTCCTGGGTGAGTTCTTGTTTTGCAAACAGTCCATCCTTCCTTCCACATTCCCTCTGGATGGAGTTTTTTGCTGGAGGGTTTCCTGCTCTTGTTTCTTCATTCCTGTATGGCTCTGCCTTCTCAGTTGTGCCAGTGCAACTGCTCATGCTTAAGTGGATCACTGAAATATCTGGGTTAACAAAAAGGAAAGAAGTTTGTTTTCTTTTTTAACGTGGATCAGGGTAGTGATCTGTTTTCCAGCCATGGTCCCTGCACTGTGGGACAATGATCTGCAGCCGAGGAATAGCCAAATGTAGGAAGTGCCCAAACTACCAGTCAGGAACAGGGAAAGGGACAGCATCGCTGTCCTCGCCAGTTCCAGCATCTTGAATGTCAGATCGGGGGAGTCAGATCACTGCAGTGAAATGTCTGTCCCTTCACCTGGCACATGGGCACTGGGGGATGAGGGAAAGTGGGACTGTGTCCTTTAGTGGGAGACCACACTCAGATCAGATCAGAGTCAGGGGAAACTGGTCCCTTGGGGGACCTAATCAAGTTGTCAGTGGTTCCAAATGTAGCAGTCACTAGCAGTTTTTGCCATAACAATACAGACATGGTAGTGTTTTGACAGGCTGGGGTAGTGCTTGTCATCTGAATATCGTTGAGTTTGTGTTAAAGATCCTATTCCACGTTTAAGGAATTTGGCCTCTGTGTCTTGTTGACAGCATGGAAATGTTTCAGTGCTGTACAAACACGAGGAAATAAATGTAGGCTGCAGAAGTCTGAGAAGAGTAAAATGCATCATAGATGTGCCGCAGTTACCTATCACCCAGAGAAATTGGGTTTGTTTGACAAAAAATGGAAACACTGCCAGGATATTTTGCTTCGGTTTAGGTTATATGCTAGGATTGTTTGTGGTTAGTAATGAGCGCAAGGTTCACTTGTAATAATAATGTAACCATGGTAATATGATAACACAAACTGATGTCAGTCTGATTTGCTGATAAGATTTATACCCTATTACATTATCCAATACAATTTAGAAATGCTTAGAAAATTAACGTTAGAATAGATTAAAATAAAGTATCAGAGGCGTAGTGACAGCTGTGGGTCTTAAGTACAGTCCCCAAGTGGATGTTTCCACATAACATATCACCCTGCCTCCATCGGGATGTGTTACAATAAGCAAGGAAAGCAATTGCTTTCATTTTACAAACAGGGAATTGCAATGTTCCTCATAATTTCTGCAATTTTCTGCACTCGTTTTAGTGTGACTGGTCAGAAATGAACCTAGCAAAAGTAACAAGTGTTAATTGGCCTCATTTAATCGAAACTGAATTTAATGATCAGCAATGATCAGGTGGAAGAGGGAAAGACAAATGCACGCATTGGGATGTCGGGGTTCACTCCCAGCGGGAAGGAAACTACTGGTGAGATGGGGGTCAGAAACTCTTGCCCCTTGCAAAGTGTTTTGGATTTACCACCCATCACTCCAGCCACTACTTTCTCAGGGCTCCTTTTATATTACCAGTGGCAGTCACCTGCATTTCTTGGCTTGTAAGCTCCGTGGGGCAGAGACCATCTCTTTATTCCCTATATATGAACGCAGCATTTCTACCACCTAATAGCATAACGATAAAAGATGATCCGGGATAATCATCAAATATGAGCCATTTCATAACCGCCTCTGTACCCGCCAGAATTACACCTCTCGTAACATCCTAGCAACGGAGCTCCTCAGTCAGCGTCTCTTCTCCTTCCCTGCGGATAACTCAATGCCTCCCTCCTTGCAGTTTCTATGTTAGAGTTTAGGATGGGGAATCTGGGAGTATTTGTTTTTGGAGAATTCCATCTGATTACCCCAGTGAAGGAATAGCAACTTTACAAAGGAGTGTAAGAGCAAGTCCTTCAGCTGTTGCCACAAACCAGGAGAGGAATGGAAGACACTTCTGGACTCAGATTTTTTTTTTCATGTGAGAGTCCTATTACTTATCCCTTGCTAAGAGTTTTGAGATGTTTGGTTTGCTGAGATAAAGGCCTCCAAAGGCTGTCCAGTCAGAGCTAATCTGGGGACTGGGGCCTCCCTCTTATCTCTGACTAGTTTTTCACTGGGATGATCAGCTGCAGTGTAACTGAGAGGGGAGAAGCCAGTCTTAGTCTCTTGTTCCTTCTGTGCTTAAAATACCTGTTTTACTTGAGAACGATACCTAGCAAAGGCATCCTTTCCTCCATCTTCTCACCTTGTTGTCCTCTTCTGGTCTGTCTTTCATCTATATTCCCCCACCTATGGCCAGCTCTTGCCGCTTATGGACTCTTTGTTATTTTCTAAACAGCATCTTCCTGAGTAAATTAAAGGGACTGTACTTCATGCTCATACTCTCTGGTCCTCAAACCCCATCTGTCCAGGCTTTCCCTCCCCTCGTCTCCACGACTTACACTCTGCTGAGCTGCATCCTAGTTTTTGAATAGTCTTCTGTGGCCCTCCCCTCACTTGTAGTGTCTTAGGCCACATCTTGTTTTCCTTCTATTACTCACATAAATTGACATTTCTTGCTGGCTGCTCACTCACACATCTCCTTCTCCCGGGCTGTCCAGCCTCCTCATTCCCACTGCTTCTCTGGCACCTTATTATTCCTCCATCTATGGAGTGAAACCTGAGCTCTTCTTTTTCAGATTTCCCTTCCCCTTTGCTGATCCTAGCCGTGCAGTGAGTCTGGTTCAGTCGAAGCTGCATTCTCCTCTCCACGTGATGTAGGCAGTTGACTCTTTTGGCAGTTCTTGTGTTTCTTTTCCTCCCTGGAACCGATGCACTGCAAAGGATGAACACAAAAATATCAGCAGGGAGTACAGGAGATGAGTAGCATTTTATACTCTTCAGAGTGGAAGAGGTGACTTGGGAGGGAGGAATCAGACTGAAATCTACCAAACGATAAGTGGCAAAATAAATAAATCTGAACATTAAGACAGATTTTATTTAGCGCTGTAATTTATTTTTGAAGCAATGTCTACATTGCACAGCGCACAACAGCACAGAAATAGTTGGAATAGCCTTGCATAAATATTGCATGAAGCTTTGAGTACAGACGCATACAAGGCACAGAGCTACATGCAAAATCTGTCGAAAAGGGGTGAAGGAAAATGTGGGAGCTCTCTGCTTCCGTATCAGGAGAGCTTCTGGTACCCGCTTGGGAAAGTAACTGCATTGCAACATGGCTTTCAGCATAAACAGGCTCAGAGGGTGCTGCACGCCAAGCTCCACACAGGAAAGCCATGGAGCAGGTTTTCAGGTCAGCAGTGGTGGGGCGTGAGCTGAACTTACTTCTGGGCCTTTTATTAGACCCAGATACATGATGGGAATAGAGAGACAGTGGTCCAGTATGGGACCTGGGTTTTACTTCCAGTTTTGCTTAGCAACCTCAGTCAATCCTTTGCCCTTGGGGCATCCCTTGTCCTTTCAGAGTTTGTCAGTTTTCTCTGTGGCTGCAATTTCATGGTCTCTTGAACCTGGCAGGAGTGACATTGCTCCCCGAAGAAGTGGCCCTGCCTTCTCTGGCTGCTTATTCCTGTGCTGCCTCACTTCCCCCCCTTTTGCTGGCACACACGTTGACGTCTACATCAGCAGCTAGGACAGCACAGCAGGCGCGGATTTACCCAGCAGTCCGGCTGTGCTGAGGACCTGCCATCCATGCTGTACGTATTTCAGGGGTGTTACTGTGGGCTAGTTGTGTTCTTGTCCCGCAGAGCGAATGTCCATTTATGAACATCCATTACTGGTTGGAGTGCTTTAGGTGTGCTCCCTTCTTCTGCTTTTGTTTTACCCCAGATCAGCTCAGTTCATTTGTTCTCAAATCCCCCTGTGATGTGAATCACAGCATGGTAAGCCGGAATGAGCTAGAGAGTTGCTTCAAACTCAAATATTAACATAGATGCACTGTGCTGACATGGCTCTGTGGTGAACCAGCTCTGGGAAGAGATCAAAAGCAAAAAGAAATGGAGCTAGCTTTAGCTTCAACCATCCTCTGAGCTCATGCATGTGGCCTCACCTACATTTGGGCCAACATTTGGCAGGGACTGAGGGCTGCTTATAAGTTGCAGGAGGAAAAGGGATCTCCTTTTTAGAAAGCACTTTACACTGGTTTAAGGAGACTGAAATAATGATCTGTGTCAGCTGCAGGCTCTCCGAACAAGGACCAACACCTACCATAGACAAAGCGGGTTTCAGCACACCGCAGTATGTTGGCTACTGCAAACAGCATGGGAGCGGGGAGATGAATTTCATCCGAGACCTCTCAGTACCACAAACAATCATAATCTTCTGAGGAACAGAGGAAGAGTGGGCAAGAGCGCTTCATTACGTTCAAAATCTTCATGAGAGCTGCTGTACAGCAGGCTTAGGTCTTTCCAAACAAACCCCATATTGTGAAGGGCTCCCTCAATGCTTTCTTCTTCCATTCTCCCCCCTCAGAACGTGTCTGGGTCTGAGTTTATTTTGATACCAAGATTTTTCTTTTTTTTTTTCCTTCGGCATCTGCATTTCCTCTCCTCCCTCTTTCCACCGCGTGCCTGCTGAAAACCTAATTGCAGATCCCTCGCTGCAATTAGTCAACACGCTGTTACGAAGTTCACTTCGTTATGGGTTTTTCGGCCAGTGGACTCAAAAGAGGCTTCGAAGCAACAGCTGGCTGGTGCTTTGACCCTCGTGCCTACGAGGTCAGCGCCCTGGTGCCAGGGCTGCCATGCTCTCCCTTGCTTTCCACCGTTCCCTACCTCACCGCACCTTCACGCCAGGCTCTTTTTTTTTTTTTCCACCCCAGGG